GGTACATAGTGGCTAACAGGCTGGAGGGCGGGGGCGTGGACAAGTCCGCAGCCCCTCCCAGCATGTACTGCCTCTGTTTCCTTCTGTTTCGACTTCACCATGTGGCTCAGCCTCACAGTACCTGGGCTCAGGGTGGGCAGACCTGCTCCTCCCGAGGCTCTGGGACCTCGACCTCCTGTGGACCTAGCCTGGTGATGCCCACGAGAGTGCCCATGCGGCTGCATGACACACGGACTCAGCACCGCTTACACCCCTCGATTGCGTGCAGATGTTGTCAGCTAAGTAAAGTAATGATCATTTTAAGTGTGCCCCTCTGACACTTCCACACCAAATTCATATATTGAAACCTAACTGGCTGGCCCCATAGTACAGCCATTAACCGCCATGCAGAGACACCACATGGCCGACTGTGGTTCAAATCCCAGCCCTTGCAGCCTGAAAAACGAGCTGGGTACATGTGCATACATGCCCCAAACCCTCCTGGACTTCCTCCATTTCAAAGAATTGGAGGGGAAAAGGTTGTGGTGTGACCACACCCCACTGGGGATGACTTTCTCTCTGTCTCTGTCTCTCTCTCTGACAAGTGCATGTGCCCTCTGGCAATAAGAAAAAAGTAGGAAAGAAGGAAGGAAGAAAAACATCTATGTTCAACATGGCGCTGTCTGGAGGTGGGCCCTGTGACAGGAGATCAGGCGTGTGGGCGGAGCCTCCTGAATGGGTTCAGTGTTCTTGTAAAAGGGGCCCCAGAGAGTACATCCCTTCCAGCATGGAAGGACACAGTAAGAAGATTCTGTCTAAACCACCAGATGCCCAGTGTGCTGGGGCCTTGATGTTGGACTTCCAGCCTCCAGAGCCGTGGGAAATAAATCTCTGTTGTTTAAAGCCACTCGCTCTGTGTATTGTAGCAGCCAAACCAAGACAAGCTCCTGCTCAGAAGAGCTGTGGGCAAATGTCCTAAGCCATGGGCAGGAACGGGTCCCACTAGACCCACGCCCAGGCTCGCCACAGGCCTCCCTGCCTGGCTTGCATGTCCGCCTGCATGAGCAGGAGGGTGATTTCTCATTTTCCCTCTCTGCCTCTCCCTAGATTTCTCCAGCAAGTGCAAAAGCCTAAAACAAAACCAACAGGAAGAAGACCGAGGTTCTTGAACACATGCCATCGCACGTAGGTAGACAAGTTGTCTAGAAGTTGCTAGGTGTTACCGGTGAGGTTCGTAAGGTTACCATTGCTGAGTCCAATTGCAATATCAAGGACTTTCAGATCTCGTGTTTTAAAAATGGTAAAACGAAGGAAATAAAAACAAGCTACCTAACAGTGAAGCCATTTGAAGCAAGTTTCTTCCTTGAAAAGATAAAGGACCTTCAAGATCTGCCTGGGCCATGAAATCCTGGCCTGGGGCCAGAAGGAAGCTCTTCCTCAGTCGCCTGGGTAGGGATAGGCTGCGGAAGTAGCAGAGCATCCATGGCTCTGGCTGTCAGCTTACACAAACCCTTAGAGGTTGGAGGAAGATTTAAGTAACGCCACCGACAAGGAAAAGCCACATTGACTCTGTACCTTCTGTGGCTCTGTGGCAGGTACCTTCCGGAGCTTCCTGATGGCTCAAGAGGTAAGCAGAAAACATCCCCCGAGGGACCAGCAGATGGCGTCATGGTGACGTCGCTGGACTCCCACAGAGTCAACAGAGATACAGTCCCAGACCCAGCGACTGAAACTCATGCCGAGTGCGTGTGCATGCGTGCCCTAAATCCTCGGAAGAGAACAGAGGAGACGGGATTGAGGAGTGGCCGTCCCCCCAGGGGGTGCGTTCTCACTTTCTGCCTCTGCCTCCTCAGTTAAGTGTATATGCCCTATAGCAAAAGTCTCGCTAAAAAAACGTCCCCTGGGAAAACCCACTGACCTAACGGGAGATAAATGAGAAAACAGAGTCCTTGGTTTGGAGGGAAAAAGGCACAATTTATTTAGTCAAGTTATTGTACAACATAGTCTTCATTGACAGTTGTCAGCTTAACACTTAATATACTTCAAAAAAGTCAACGATTACTTGCAAAATTATATATATTTTAATGTCTAGAAAATAGGTTGCATATATAAAGCAGGAAGATCCCTCACTCCGCAAGGGAAGATTCGATCGTTCTTGTGAAAGTTGCAGTTCTGTTATTTACAAACACCTTCAACGCATTCAGGATGGACATGGATTGACTCTCTGCTTGCTTATCCCTGTTAAATAACTGTACCAGTGCCTTACCTTCCAGTAACTTAAATGCCCTGTTTTCTTTTCAGCAAGTCACATTATGCTTTTTAAAAAAAAGCTATAAAAACGTACAAATAGCCCACATGTACAGATTGTCAAAAGATGTACAAATTACATTTAAAAAAATAACAACAACTGATTTGATAGTAAAATTGCATTTGTGACCGAGGTCAACTCGTTTATTTACTTTTAATTTTTTAATTATTTATTTTTAATACTGTGAGATATAGGAAAATAACTCTGCATAATTTATACAGTAAGTTGCCTTCTGATTGGTTGACCTTGGTCTGACGGTCTGACAAACGCACAGCGCTTGCGAATCTGAGTTTAGAAATCCCTCCAACTTTTCAAAGTTTTGGGATCCACTGTCATCATTTTAAACAACAACAACAACAACAACAACGACACAAATGAGTTATGTATTTCTCTCGCAGGAATGTCTGTATTGGCTCTAAGATCTCATAGCTCACATCTGGACTATTTCTAGAGCACTGCCAGCAGAGTGCATGCTGCCCGCCGAGGGGCCTGCGATGCCCTCTGCTCCTTAAACACACGTGCTCTTTCACTCGAATTCCAGTTGGGTGAAAACGTCACTGGCCTTTCAACCAGTGTTCCAGTTGCCAGCCACAGAGTTAGGTCCTTCTAAAATAGGGTCCCCAGCTTCTTGCCTCTTTTTCCCCTAAGTCTGAAACCAGGACGTGACCGGCCAAGCCTGTGCCTCTGATGTCCGGGCCCTACAATGGTGAGACCCCTGTGTTGATAAGAAACTGATTTGGTCACAGAAACACAAGGAGCATTTACCGCTTCTTTTTCAGAACCATGACATACCCTTTCCCGTAATCTGAACATCCCACTCGTGAAACGAGAGGAGGCGGAGACTGCAAACTGGCCCACGGATGATCTGTCTCTGGGTCAGGCAGTGGAAGCCAAAGTGACCCACAGAAAACAAACAACAGTCTTTAAAGAACAATACAAAGGTTCTGTCCAACTCGAACGAACATCCAGTTTTGTTCTCTTCGAGGCTGCGCGCCCTTCAGAGCCCAAGGAGTCCAGGAAGGCGAGGGGTGGGCTCTGGCTGGGCGCCCCGTGACTGAGCTAGTAGTAGCTGCCTAAGTGTGAAGGCACGTGGGTGTTGGGGTGGCGGGGGACGCTGGGGTTGGCGTAGACCCCACCAGGGGGCGAGGTCCAGTACTGGGACGCCGCTCCGAAGAAGCTGGAGGAGGTGACGGGCATGGAGGACGGGTGGGGAGGGACGAAGCCCACCTTCTGCTGGTGGGCGTGGTAGGAGGGCATGTAGGAGATCTCCGAGGGGTACTTGTACATGGCGGGCTCGGTGGGGTGCGGCTGCAGGGCCTGCGCGATGCCGTGGAAGTCGAACTTGTAGGCGTACCTCTTGCCGTGCACCTTGGTCATGATGTTCTTGTCGTAGTAGTAGCGCAGGGCCCGGCTCAGCTTGTCGTAGTTCATGTTGGGCTTGCTTTTCCGCTCGCCCCAGCGCCGGGCCACCTCGTCGGGGTCCGTCATCTTGAACTCCCCGTTGGTGCCCTCCCAGGTGATGCAGCTGGCGTTGGCGCTGTCGGACAGGAGCTCCAGCAGGAACTGCCACAGCTGGATCTGCCCGCTTCCTGCAGGACAGAGGGGACGGTCTCAGCCTGCGGGCCCGAGCCCGGCTCCCCGAAGGCCGGATGCTCGGACCCTTTGTCGGGACCCGTTCCCTTTGACATCCTGCCCCTCTTAGCGGTCTGCTGTCTGGCTGCCACTGAGGTGGCCATGGTGACCGAGTCAGTGCTGAAGACGTTTGCCCACAGTCGGGAAACCGGCCTGGGGGTACTGCTCGGCCCAGAACTGGGTGTATGACCGCAACATGCCACCCCTCCCCGGTCACCTTGCAGCAAGAATTCTGACTTTCTTCCGCAAAGGCCTGGATCGCTGTCTAATCTGCGTGTGGTGATGAGATTTCCCACAGGATAGCACCCCATCAGCACTGCAGAGTCAGGCTCATGAGAGGCTGCTGGGGTCACGGGAGGAGGCGAGCCCTGGGCTCTCGGCTTAGACCTGGGCACCTCCCTGGCAGAGCCAGCGCTTGGCCGTCAGCTCCAAGTTCTACAGAGAAGAATGGTGCAGAGAGGGAGCCAACAGAAGTGCTGGCGGGCTTCTTTCTTCTCTGGGCAGGCGTACTCAGCCACCAGACCTGGCGTGGGGGGCGTGGCTGACAGTACCTAGTGTCTGGGACAGGAAGATGGTGGCCTCACCACTGTCAAGGGCCCATAGCTCACAATCCTGGTGGCCAAGGCTTAGAAGAACTCACTTGAGAGTTATTTTTAATAATAAATCCTTGGCCCTGGAATTCGATAGAAAGTGGCCGAATATGGAAGATCTGTTGCTGAGTGGAGCAAGTCAGGCTATGAAAGAGAGACATTGTATGTCTCCACCTAACATATACAGACCGTCTGCCCTCTATGGTAGAGACTGAAAGAAGAAAGGACACAAAAGCACTAAAAATTGTTATGGGCACTAGAGACGAAGTGGAAGGAGAGTGTGGGAGGGGAAGAGTGCGGGAAAGGAAATTTGGGGGAAAATGGAGAGGTAAGATATTTGTGGGACACAGACATAGTTTGTTATCTGTTGATGAGGATGTGTTGTAGTATTCTCAACTGGACTGAGATGTGTATCAGGCTGGGTAAAGTCTCTTTATAATCTAAATGATGTATAGCGATTGAATGTATAAATAATAATAATAATAATTTGAAATACATTGTCAAATTCACTTTTTCTACAAAATGATAAGGATGCACTTTTTTAAAAAAATAAGGTCAAATAATTGTAACACTTTCTAAAATCATTACTAAAGCACTTTTGAAATACTCATGCACTTGTGCTTCCATGGGGGTGACTGGGAGCTTGTTGGAATGGCTTCTCTTTCCCAGCCTCTAGGGGACTTCAGTCTGTGCCGTGTGTCACTGCTAACCCTCACTGCAGGTGCCCGGTGCGAGCACACTTGTTTTCCAGAAGCATCTACAGCTGATGAATAGCACCACGCACTAGCCAGCCCTGACCTCTGTACACTGCAGAAACAGACGCTGGGCATTTCAGGGGAGGAAGCACGTGCTCCCCAGTCAGGTGTCCAGATTTAAGACAGAGGTCTTTGTGCGCTCATCAAGCTACGGAACATTCTGGAAAGAAAGTCTCGCTGGTCAAGGGAGACTCACCAGGGTTGGCTAGGCGACTGCTGGTTGGACCCAGGATTTGATATGGATCTAAGGAAACAGAAAAGGAGATTTGTTTCACCATGACTGAGGATATAAGAAGCATTGACAGTTACAAACCCCCGAGGGTCTGTGCGTGCATTTGGATGTCACGGGAAACTCTGATTGCAGAAAACATTACTGCTTTTACTTGCAGACCTCAACCACCTTGGTCCCGGTTAGTGCCTCGTCCCAGTAGTGAGGAAAACATGGAGTAGGAATGGCATCGTTTTTTCGTTTTTGGTGTCTAAAATATGCCCTGGCCACTCGCTGCCATTATCCAAAACGAACTCATGGAGCATTTGAAAGTGGTTGGCCAGCACTCAGACACGTGGTGACCGCTGGCAGGCCGGCTGGGCAGTGGCCTTCGGAGGGCTCACCATCACACTCTGAGTACTGGACATAGTACAAGCTCTGTCTTTCACATGCTCGGAGACCAAGCAGCCCGGGTTCTAGTCCCAGCTATGTTACAAACTAAGGAATTAGTTGGACACTGCGTACTGGTTTTCCCATCAGCAAAGTGAGTGTGCGGGCTACAGAGCTCCTGGCTTCCTCCAGTGTGACAGACCATGGTTTTAAGCCTAGTAGTGTGAATTCTAACTAGAATTGTATTTTAGCTATAAAATGACTATTCTTAAAATCTCAGCTTCCTTTAAACTTACGTGATTATTGACCCATGAAAACGTGAAATATTAGTCCAGGCGAGGTTTATGTTCTTTGTATCAGTTGTGGAAATCGTGGAAGAGCTAGATCTCTAATTGTCCACGCTGCCAGAAAATCCCATGGTCATCATTGCAATTTGAAGAAATATTAGTGAGAGTTTGGGGTTTCTGCTTGTCACCGTGATGGAACTTGAGGAGTCCCAGGGCCACTTGGTCTACCTGTCCTCACCCACGGCAGGCGATGTCTAACTGCTGCTGGGCTTCTGGAAAACTCTGACCTGACTTGCGCTTCACCGTCAGCAAGCTCTGTCTCACGCTGCCTGCTAAGTGTGGGGCAGCTCCCCCTCTGTCTTCGGTGAGACGGAGCGTTGCTAGCCCATGGCCAGCGGCTGGCACAGGGCTGACTCCAAGCCTTGCCGCGTGAAGTGGGCAGCGGGGAGCTGGGCGCGGGCACCGCAGTCTCCAGACACACAGAGGCCCTTCATGTGGGACAGGCGTGGGGAGGCTTCTCCACCGGGCAAGCTGGGGGATGAACCGTACAGAGAGGGGCGGGGCTCAGAGGGTGCAGTTGAGCCCAGCACGGGGTAAGTGGGAATATATTTATGATATTGAAATGGAAGTGCTTTGCCCTGGTATTTGGGCAGGGGCAAGTACACCTGGAGGGATCTTGATTCTCCAAGTTCCATTTCAAGAGTCCTCGAGGCTCTGGCTTTGAAAATCGAATGCCTATGGCGAAGGCAGGATGAGGTGTTTTGAAAATCAGGTGTGGTGAGGCACACGTGGCTTGGACGGGAACTTGGGGGTCTGGGGTTCTCTCTCTAATTCTCTCATTCCCCAGCTGCGTGGCTTTTGGCAGATCTCTTCCCTTCTCCTCCATTCTCCTCTCGGGATCTTGGGCACGCACGCACACGCGCCCAGCATGAGTTTTAAGCCACCGGGTCGGGGACACGAACCGCGGTCGACTACGTGGGAATCCAGCGACATAGCCATTACGCTAACTGCTGGTTCCCAGGATGAGGTGTTTTGAAAATCAGGTGTGGTGAGGCACACGTGGCTTGGACGGGAACTTGGGGGTCTGGGGTTCTCTCTCTAATTCTCTCATTCCCCAGCTGCGTGGCTTTTGGCAGATCTCTTTGGCTCTCCGGGCCTCAGTCTGTGTATTGCACACGCCGAGAAACTGCAGATGAAGTCTAAGTCGCCAGCGGGCCTCTCCCTGCCTGTAGGGCTCTTATTCCCAGATCTAGCAGAGCCAAGTACGAGTCTCGTAGGGAAAAGCAGCCATGGCAAGTGCTCCTCCATCGACCACCCCTGGGGAGCCCGCCGCTGTGCCACGGAGCGACAGGGAGATGGAAGACGGGGCCCCTCCTGCACAGTACCTGGCTGGGGCCGCTGCTCGGTGTTCTTGTTCATCGTCTGAGCTCCTCCGAGTGGGGGACCTGCAGCGAGAGGACAAGGACCATGACTGGGGGTATCACACACCCTCCACTCCTCCAGGTGCTTGCTGTGTTTCATGTGTCTTTCTAGAACCTTCTATGTGCCAGCCCTGTTCTTCATGCTGGACAAGCAGCGTGAGCACAGCTCCTGCAGGGCATGTGCATTTGTGAGGGAGACAACATGAGTGATGCTTTAGAAAGCAGACCAGGGGCCAGCTGGTGGCATGTGGTCAAGGCAACTGCACCCCAGATGCCTGACTGCCCAGTTCAGGTCCTGGACTTGGTAGCTTGAAAAACAGACCAGATAAATGTGTGTGTGCCCAAAAATCCCAAAAAAGAGAAACAGAGGAGGAGGGATGCGGAGTGGTCACCCCGGCAGTGCTCTCTCTCTCACTCTCTCTCTCTCTCTCTCTCGGGAGCACGTGTGCCCTCTAGCAAATTGAAGACAAAAACGGAAGACAGGAAAGCAATACTACAGCCTTCTGATGGCATCGGGCTGTGGATTTAGTTCCTAAATAGGAAACCAGGGAGGCTCTCCTGGAGCAGGTGCGTCAGAGCCCAGAGCACCTGCTTCCTATGCCCACTCCCCCCCGTACTGCGCACCCCCGCGGTCTCACTGCTCACACCCTCCCTGCCCCGTCACCGCTGCTTCTCCCTCTGTGGCCCACCTGGCCACTCGCATGTCAACAGCTTGGCCTGACTCGCTCGCGCCCTGCCGGCGTCCCACTGGCCCCATGCACTCTGTAGCTCGCAGTCCACGGGACTCCTCGCTGCCCAAGGGTTCAGGTGTCTTCCCAGCGTCCTCCACTGCCCCCTTCTCACCTGGGCAGGCTGCCTTCCTGCCTCATGCCCGCAGTTGCAGAACCCCGAGGTCCTCACCGATGGCCGGACCTGCCCCTGCAGCTGTCCCCCTGCCCCACCCCCGCTTCCAGGTCCTAACCCATCCCCCTTCCAGAGCGAGTTCCGATGGGACGAGGTCCACGAAGCCCTCTCGCCGCCACCCAGGTGAAAAGAAAGCGTCGGGTATGTGTGTCACTCCCGCCTGCTCACGGGGTCGGCCCACGCCCGACCCATCCTCGTGTTACAGAAACGAATTCCAGACACACGTTGTCGAAGGGTCCTGCTCGTGGGCCTGGTTCATTCTACTGCGCTTCCTCAGAGCTCTTCAGCCCCGCCCCATCTGTGGACGCCCTGTCTGGGTCAGGGGTCCTCGAGTGATCGCCCGCCTCGCTCAGTGGGGATGCTGGGCGGGCTCTGACAAGCCACCACCTCGCTACCTGGGGGATGAGTCCATGACTCTGACCCCACCCTCTCCTCAGGCCACCGTCCCTGGTCTGGTTTTCTCTGATTTTTTTTTTTTTTGAGAGATTTTTGCTATATAACATGTATCCTCATCGGACAGTCAGAAAGCAAAAAATCACACCCGAGGGGGCATGGCCATGCCACAGTCCCTCCTAGATTCTCCTCCCGAGATTTGGGCAGGCACACATACGTGCCCAGTGTTTCAAGCCACCAGGTCCAGGACTCCTAATGTGGTCGGTCATGTTGGAGTCAAGTGGCTTAACCGCCATGCCGCCGCCGGCCCCTCGTCTCAGTTCCTCATCTGATGGGGTAGGAGCATTGGCATGCCTGGGTCTGGACAGTGAGAGTGGCAGAGTCACGCAGGGTCGTTTTCTGGCCCTGAGCACCAGACTCCCCACTGCGACCTTTCCTTCAGACAGAACCTCATCCTAAGGAACCTTCAAACTCCAGAAGTCCTAACCCCACCACCGCAAAACAACCCGAGGGGTGAGGGGAGGTTCTACGCCGTCTTGCATGCTGTGGGTGGGACAGGCCCTCGCCTGGCCATGCGCTTTGCGTCTTTGCCATCTGCGTGGACGCAGTGGCTTACTGCCCTCAAGCCAACGCCCTCCCCGCCCCGCAAGGCCACAGGCCCTCACTTACTTTTGTTGAGGCCGGAGTTCATGCTGTTGCCCCAGGCTCCTCTCCTGACTGAGTCGTAAGACGGGTCTAAGGGAAAGGACAGACGGGATTAGGGTGGCTCACTCCAGAGGGCTGCAAGCAGGCGATCGCTCAGTGCTGGAGGAATGAACTTGAACTCAGCAGCAACTCTGGGAGCGTCACCACCCCAGAGCTGGGATGGGGTAGGGGAAGGAAAACGAACGCTCCATTTGGGGGGAGACTCCAGTCTCCTCTGGGAGCCGAGGGAGCAGCCAGCACCCAGCACCCAGCTGGAGATGGAGGGGGCTCCAGCCCCGGCCACTGTCTGTTGTGAGACCGCGCTGACTCGTGAGACCTCTCGGAGCCTTGATTTCCTTCACTACAGAAATAAAACGTGCAGTCTGTCTCAGCGGGGTTGTGACCCAACGAGACACTGTGAAGCGTCCACGCAGTCCTCCGTGAACACAGCTGCCACACAAAGGCCGTGTGCGTAGCTCCAGGGCAAAGTCCTTCGAGCAGACTGAAGGGACAGAAATGCTGGTGGGTGTCCTGGAAGGCCAAGACTGTCCCCAGGCCCAGACCCGTGACGCTCCTGGGGGCTGAGCTGTCAGTGCACTGCCAGGGACACAGCTCAGAGGCAGGAGCATGTCCCAGGCTCCCTTGGGTCTCTCTGGATTTTCTGTTGACAGAGGTGAGGGTGGAGCCCGATGGACACAGAGACGGGGGTGGGCAGAGCTGAGTCGGGGCCAGGGCCGGGAGGAGAAGGGCTCAATGAAATGACCACCTGAAAAGGCCAGAGGCCCACGTCACACGTCACGAGGGCATCCGAGGCGCCTGGATGGGGCAGCCTCACCTCCTTAAGAGTCCCCGTGCCTCCCTCCCTCCCGCACCTCCAAGGGCCTGGAGACTTCCCTCCTTTCCTGCCCTGGGGTGTGGGTTCCATGACACACGGAGCAGGAAGAGCAGAAGAGCTTGAGGACACCAAACATGTCCCTCAAAGTCTTTCCACAGACAACAAAGAAGCCAGAGAGCCCTCTGAACAAATGGGGCCCAGACCTCTCAGCTACAGGAGGGCAGGGTGAGACACGTGCCAGCCCCTGGCTGCGTCGGAGCCTCTGCCAATCAGAGCAGGACCCGGGACCACGGACTCGGCCCCTCGCCTGGTCCCACTGCTTCTGGCTAAGAAGCCAAAGACAGGGACATGTTTCTTGTGGAAAAACTCACGTGCAGACGCACATTCCTCCTGGCTCTGGAAAAGCCAGCTCAGTTTTAAAATTGCAGTCTTTAGCAATTGGCATGAAAAGAGAAACAAAGTGGAGGCGGGTGGGGAGTGGGGACGAGACGAGACAGCACCACTGCGTCCGTCGCCTGATTTGACTTATTTGTCTTCCTTTCCCAATTCCCCCTGTAACAAACCAAAGAAACGAGAAGAAGGGCTTCTGTGTGAGCGGGGCAGGGGCGTTTCCGGGAGGGCTGTGGGGTCTGCAGAGGCGTTCGGCCTTGGCATAAGCAGAGAGAAGTCTCAGCCAAGATTCTTCTCTGGGCTGGCTAGGTTGCCAGTAAATGTTCTAACTGAACATATTTATTATTGTTGTTCTGATTCAGCATAGTGAGCACAAGTGCACGAGAGAGAGAGAGAGAGAGAGAGAGGAGAGAGAGAAAGAGAGAGAGGAGAGAGAGGAGAGAGAGAGAGGAGAGAGAGAGAGAGGAGAGAGAGAGAGAGAGAGAGGGGAGAAAACACTCCCCACGGGGAGA